GTGGGGACAGCGAGGGGACAGCGCGGCGCCATCGCCTCCCCACGCGGTAACACGAGTGGATCACTCCCAAAGGATGCGGGCTCTGATGGGAGTCTCCCGAACCCCTCTCACAGCCCGTCGGCACTGCGGGACGCTCCGGGAGCGCCGAACGCTCCCGTGTGACTGTGTCCCCCCACCAGGGCCACACGGCATCCATGTGCTCCTGCCCCCGGGCGCCCCGGTCCCACGGACGGCGCTGGGATTCACGGCTGCTGCCACTGGGGCTCGCACCGGGACAATCCGTTCTCCCAGGAAAGCAAAAACCAGGCTAACAAAACAAATACTGGTCCCAGCACCGCTGGCATTAGCTCTGTCTTCCAGGGAAACTGAGGCACGGGCTCACCCAACTATCTGACACAGATTTTGTGTTCCTGGTGCCATTGGTCACCCTGGGAACTGCGTGTCACGGTGTCTCAGCACACTGTCCTCCCCTGCTGACCTCAGCAAACAGTTCAGGGGGATGTCACCCAGTGTGACACCAGCCTTCACCCGGCCGGGTCCCGCGGCGGCCGTGCAGCCCCGGCTGTGCAGCTCACCGGCTGAAGGGCCGGGCACTCAGCTCAGCCCCCCGGCAAACCCCAGGGCCAGCGTGTGCCCGAACCTCAGCCCGTGCCACCACAAACCAGGACAGATTGCCAGCTGGAGGACAGGCGTCCTCAGGGCCCCGTGTGCATCCTTCAACCCCTTCAGCCTCCGGCAGGGTGACAGGCCCACAAAGCACCTCGTGTGTGTGCCACGTTCAAGAAGAAAAATGTACTAATAACAGGAGACCCCCAAAAGGGCTCGAGCCGGGCTGGGCTGCACTGCCAGCATCGCTGAGCGTGTCACCCTGCCCTGGTGCTGCCAGGAGCTGCCCTCAGCCCGAGGGCAGCCGGGCAGAGCCCTGGGCAGCGGGTCCAGTCCTCGTCCTAAGCCCCTCTTGAACCCAGAGGTGCTGAGGGGAGAATGAAAGCAGCGGGCAGGAGCAGCCCCGATCCTGGGGCACAGCCCTGGTTCCAGGAGCACAGATCTGATCCATGGGTGCACAGCCCAAATCCATGGGTGCACAGATATGATCCGTGGGTGCACAGATCTGATCCCAGAGGCACAGCCCCGATCCCGGGGACACAGATCTGATCCCGGGGGCACTCACCGTTGGAGGAGGATGCCAGGCAGTGGAAGGAGGCTCCGGAGGTGCAGTTCTGCCACAGGTCTGCCGCGTGCTCGCCGTTCACCAGCCATTGCTGCGGGAGAGACACAGCCCTGAGCAGGGCCCGGGGGCAGCAGCCAGCCCCGGCCGTGTCACCCAGCCCCGGCGTGTCACCCCAGCCCCGGCCGGGCCACCCAGCCCCGGCCGGGCCCCCCAAGCCCCGCCGTGTCCCCCCATCGCCACCGCGTCCCCCCCGGGCTTCGGCACCGAGCAGCCCCGCACGTGCCTCCCCGGCCAGGCGCCCTTCCGTGGAGAGGGCTTTGAAAAGCCAGTCCCGGAATTTGTTTTTAACTGCTTTGGCCCCGGCGGCGCAGGAACAGAAGCTCTTTATGCTCTTTAAACGCGAGCGAGTCCCGCGGGGCCGCGCTTCCCTCCCCGGCCGGGCTCGCCCGCTGCCTGGCCGGGATATTTGAAAGCTTCCATGTGATTCCTAACGGCTCGGAAGATTTTTGTAACGTTTTCCGTGACTGTTAC